AGATGGCAGGAAGCGGCTTGATGTGGAGGAGTGCGAACGTGCGTGTGTGTGGAAGCCCAGGGTGCTCCAGAAGGGAGGTCCCAGGAGATAACATTCAGGTCCTTACTTACAAAGGACACGTATGCAGAACCGAATTCTCTACAATGCAGCCCTTCATCTGACAGCCCTGCACAGAAAAGGAGAGGCAGAGAACTATGCGGACCTCGGCGTGAGCTCTGGATAAAATGGCATTCTACTTGCTGCATAGGAGGCTGGAGGAAAAGCAGAATATAAAATAAAACGAGGAGCCCACAATTCAAAGAGGAGGAATGCCTATGAGATTTTTTAAGTCAGTTGATAACTTTCAAAATAAAAAATATATATCTAGGAAGCTAAAATTTAAAAAGTAAAACCACGGAAATAATGCTGAAGTTGCTATTAATTCACCGGCATTTATAACCGGAAGTGCTCACCCTTTTTTCGAGGTGACCCAAAATGGCTGGGAAGAAACCATTTGGTAATCGATAGAGCACCTGTTAGCATATCTGATCCTGCCAGTGTAAGAGACAGCAATGAATAGGGCATTTCTTCAAATGGTTGTTCCTTCACAGTAACACCCGCGATCACAGATGAAAATAACAACAAAAATATTTTATACCCACGGTGGAAGGAATCGTCAGGCAGTGTTTTGATCCATCTTGGCCAATCTTTGGCTAAGGATCGTAGAGACTTTCTTCTAAGGTGTTATCCTACTCAGAGGGATCAGCTCTCCAAGAGATCAAACAACAGCTTGGTAAACCCAATTTCCTTCACAGAGGCCTTAGAACTCAGCCAGTAATCTCAGCAATAATTCTCGGGCACTTCTCACTCTCACTTTTGGCACTTTCAGGAGCCAAAAGGAGATAACGAAGAAGCCTCAAGGACATAAACATCTGCTGGATTTCACTAAACCACTGCCCTTGCAGACACTCAACACCAGGTATGTGAAAGAGAAGGTGAGCAACCCGCCCCCGTGGAAGCCAGGTTGGTGGGCTGCTCTATCCCATGACAACTGCTGTAACTTTCACCTCTCACGAGGTAACTGCAAATCCAAGTCTTCCACGTCGATATCATGGAATACTAGGCCATTAAAAAATTCCGGTTTTAAATGAAAAAAATAAAAACTACACACGGGTGGGAACAATACACTCCCATTATGTTAAATATATAAATTATATATACACATACACACATATGAAGACGATAAACAGACACGCAAGCTTGCACATGCAGCTTGTAATCAATCCTGGGATAACAAAAAGAAGACCCTACAGGTTGGGATGGGAATATATTCGTTGAATATGTTTTGTACTCTATAAATGTTTACCGTTTACCTGCATAAAGGTAAATGTTATTTTAAAGGAATCCTTATCTCTGGAAATTTAATACAAGCTACGTATTTGTTAGCAGTGCACTACGCAGGAAGTTGGGCCCACTGTGCTGCATAAAACATGAGGAACACTCTTCAGTCAATCTGTCTTGTCACTGCTTGTCTTTCTCTCCCCCTCTCTTCCCCCCTCCCTCCCTCCCCTTCACTGCCCTTTCTGTCTTTCTCCCTCTTTACATTACACAGTTTAATTCTACTGGCATTTCTGTTTTTCTCGTGTTCAAGTCCCAGCCCAGTCCGGAAGTTAATGATCCCAACTCAAGAGCTTTGGTGGAAGTCCTGAGTAATGATGACGGATGGGGCTCCTGCCCCACCAAGATGAGCTGGCCCATCTTTCTTGGGCAGGCATAGCCTCCCCGCCCATACGTGAGCACAGGAGCAACACATTCTGCTGGCTTCCACACTCCTCTCCCTTGGACTGTTGGTTCAAGACTCCAAAAGGACTCCAAGGTCTATCAGCTCCAGAAGCAAAGAAGGGAATCTGGTCACATCCTCCTTGACCCTGAACTTTCTATCATGCTTCCCTGCTGCTTCTATTTGTAACTTTCCCTATCACCACTCTGAAATGCCCTGCGAGAACTTCTTTGTCATTCTGAACTCCATCTAGCCTGAAATCCTTCTCTAAGGCTTCACTATCTTGGGGTATGCTATCAAACTCTGACACCCCTTCCACTGAGGTGCAATGCAGGACAGCAGGCCACACCAAGTTCACCTGTGGTTCCCTACCAAACGCCCAGCATTGACATTTATCCATCACGGGCCTGTCCCTGTATTTCTCCCCGTGAAGACTAGTGGCTGCAACCTTCCATGCCAGCCAAGAATGGCGCTGCCCCTAACAGTGTTCCTATTTGCCCATCAGCCCTAAATCCCTTCTGAGGATTAAACCATAACCTCTAATTGTAACTGTCCATTTTCCAAGGAAACACGGCAACTATTCCCACAGCCTCACTTCACAGGCAGGTGAAGAAATTCATGGGCTTTGGGACCAGACAGACCTAGGCTGAATCCCAGCTTAATTCAGCTTTATTCTGGGGCAGTTTCCTTACCACTGGCTTCCTTATCTGTAAATAGGAATAATAATTCCTACTTTATAAGATGTGTGTGAACATCAAATGAGTTACTCCCCTCTTTACTCCTCTGGAACGTCCCCTATCAGTCCCTCCAGCTGAATCCACCAGGTCTGCCCTGACCTGGTAGTATTTGGTAACTAACCTTACACACAGCTTAAAATCCCAAAGTGCAGGAATCATATTTCTGACAGATATACTCCTTCCTTCTTAAGAAAAGGAAAGTTTAGAAACTGCTGTAAATATATATTATGAGCAACTGAGCTAAAAAAAAAAAAGAAAATAATACCATTCCCTTTGTTAGCTACAGAATCTGTAGCCCCAGTAACACACACAGGGACAGATACACAGACACAACGACCTGCAGCAGAGATTACAAGTCTATCTCTCACCTGCCTTCTTTGGCGCCCGCTAACCTTCTTCTTTATAACGGTCAAGGCTCCTAGCACCTTCAAAAGCCTCAAAGACCTCATCCCTCATTTTTGAGAAGAGGAAACAATAGGACCAGAGAGCTAAAGCGACTTGTCTAAAGTTGCACAGCTAGTTAAATGACAGCTAGGCAGCTGACAACTTTACCCTGGTGGTTAAGCGCAGCAAACTGAGTAACTCATGAAAAGTTTACTTAAGAGGAACCGCACTGCAAGGCTCCATTTCATGGAGGCTTAGAAGGCTCAAAAGATTCTGTGAACCTCGGCACATGTGTTTAATATGAAATATATGCCTGCATTTGCCAACAGGATGTCACAGATCTTTGTCTGGTGGGTTTCTTAGAGCCCCTGCGTTCTAGACCAGTGCCATTAAATAGAGCTTTGTGAGAAAGGGACATGCGCACTTGCCAGCATGGCAGGCCTCCGCTATATATGTGCCTGTTGAGCATCTGAAATACGGTTAGTGCAACTGAGGAATTAAATGTTTGATTTTTTTAATTTTATGTTTTATTGTGGTTAAACTACACGCAACATGAAATTTACCATCTTAACCATCTTTAAGTGCACAGCTCAGTGGCATTAACTACATTCATGATGCTGTGCAACCGCCACCACCATCCATCTCCATAGCTCTTTCCCTCTCGGAAAACTGAAACCCTACACTCATTAAACAATAACTCTCTATTCCCCGCTGCCCCCAGCCCCTGACAACCACCATTCTACCTTCTGTCTCTCTGATTCTGACTACTCTAAGTATGAGTGGAATCATACAGTATTTGTGTTTCTGGGACTGACTTGTTTCACTTAGCATAATGTCCTCAAGGTTCATCCACATTGTAGCATGTGTCAAAATTTCCGTCCTTTTCAAGGCTAAGTAATTTTTTTACCACATTTTGCTTACCATTCATCTGTCAGTGGACACTTGAGTTGCTTCCACATTTTAGCTATTGTGAATAATGCTGCTATGAACATGGATATACAAATATCTCTTTAAGACGCTGTTTGCAATTCTTTTGGGTATGTACTCAGAAGTGGAATGGCTGGATCACGTGATAATTCTATTTTCAATTTTTGAGAAACCACCATACTGTTTTCCACAGCAGCTGCACCATTTTACATTCCTACCAACTGTGCACAAAAGTTCCAATTTCTCTACATCCCCACCAATAGTGTTATTTTCTGTTTTTTTGATAGTAGTCATCCTCATGGGTGTGAGGTAATATCTCATTATAGTTTTGATTTGCACTTCTCTAATGACTAATGATATCAAGCATCTTTCCTTGGGCTTTTGACCACTTGCATATCTTCCTTCGATGAATATTTTAATTTTATTTCACTGTAATCAACTTAAATAGCAAAATGTGGCTAAGGGTTTCCATACTGGACAGTGCAGCTCTAGAACACCATAATTCTTGAGGTAATTTGGAGACCCAGTGCAGTAAGCATAGTGAGCTTTGAAGACAGATGGACCAATTCAGATACTTTCTAGTTCTTCAGATGTAGCCAGTCACTTAAAATTTTTATACCTAAATTTTCCCACGGTATAAAATAGGATTAATACTTCCTTCTTCTAAGAATGAAATGAAATGAATCGGCATACATGCAGCCACTGGTATAATCTTAGTACCTGGGAGAGAATTGAAGCCAATGGACACGCCTTGCCTCAACTTCAGTATCCACTGATAGCTGACACGTAGGATTTGGCTTTTTTAGACAGTCTCCCCAGATGGACTTCAGTCCTTTCCAGAGAAATGGACTTTCATTCTAGGAAACAAAGATCTTTAGCTCCCGCCAAGAGGACCCACAAATGGAAGGGGCTGACTGAGATGAAATCTGGACTCTCACTTCTCTGGGATTCTGTGATGCTGACCCTGCCCAGATTCAGCCTTGACAAATAACCAACAGAAAAGTGAAGCCGTCAAACTTCTGGCTTTTTATTTAGGCCCACCTCCTTTGGGAGGCCGTCAAAAACAGACCTTCAGAAGGGAGGATCTTTTAAGAACCCTCTAAGCTCTGAACGTGCTCTGGGGCGCAGGACCTTCCCGAGACTCTGTTTCTGTGGCCACGCCTTTCATCCCTCCATCCCAGCCACAGGCTTACCTGCCGCTGCCGCGGGCGGGGTCGGGGTGCTGGCCGGCGGGGTTTGCGAGGGGCTGCTGCCCTCAGTCATCAGGCATGGGGTGCTGCTGTCGTTCTCCCTCTTGACGAGCAGCTCGGCCGCGCTGGGCAGCGGGATGGGGTGGCTGATGCCCAATTCCTCCTCCTGGGCCTGCTGCCGTCTCAGGGCCACCTGGAAGCACAGGGCAGTGGGTCACCCTCCAGCACCCCAGAGTCACTCAGTACTTTTGCTTTGCCAAAGCCATGGAAGCCCCACCCACCTCAGGGTGAGGCCTGAGAATCCCTCCTTGCTTTTTTTTTTTTTTTTTTTTTTTTTTTTTGCGGTACGTGGGCCTCTCACTGTTGTGGCCTCTCCCGTTGCGGAGCACAGGCTCCGGACGCGCAGGCTCAGCGGCCATGGCTCACGGGCCCAGCCGCTCCGCGGCATGTGGGATCTTCCTGGACCGGGGCACGAACCCGTGTCCCCTGCATCGGCAGGCGGACTCTCAACCACTGCGCCACCAGGGAAGCCCCCTCCTTGCTTTTTAAAGCTACCCAGGTAACTCTGAGATGCAGCCAAAGCTGAGAAATGGTTTCCAGCCAGAGTCCCTGGACCACAGTAAAAGCACTCCTAAAATGTCCCTTAAACAAGTGAGTATGTAGAGCAGGGAAAGGCTGGATGAGAAGCTGCGGAGTCAGCAGAGGCATTCAGCGTGAGGAGAAGCCAGCACGGAGAGACTAGGAAGGAAGGAGAATGGGGTCACTCACTCTTTCCTTCCACAGATGTGTCAAAGGCTGCTGTACCGGGAACAGCGACCAGCAAGATACAGCAAGGTTAGATTAGTTCCCAAGGTACTCACTGTTTAAAAGGAGAAGCAGGAAACAGGCAAACATGCAACTGCAACTCAAGACAAAACGTGGTAAACACCACAGGACAGGCATACACAGATCCTCCCGAAGAAACTGGGGCAAAAACGGCTTTAAGTGTAAGTATAAGCTGCAGGTGGTACTGGAACGGGGCCTTGAAGAATAGGATGAGTGGGGCTTGACGGGCAAGGATGAAGGGGCAGAACGACCCGGAATAAGGGAGCAGGGTAGGCAGGGAAGGCAGGGGCTGCTCAGGAAACCTTGCAGAGCCCTGTTCTCTGTGGCGGAGGGAGCACATACAGAAGTAATGGGGAAAAGGGGGCTGGAATACAGCGCTGAAGTCTCGGGAGAGAGAGGCTGGAGGTGGAGAGAAAGGGAGAGGACACGTGCCGTATTCCAGGCAGGAGGGAAGGAGATTCAAGTGGGGGCTGGAAAGGACGCAGCGTACCTAAGACACTCCTCATCGTCCCTCTTCTTTTAAATAACATTGTTTAAGGTTGAAAAAAGAGGTGTCAAGAAAATAAATTGTATTGTGGCTTACTACAAATAACAAAAATGGAGACTTTCTGTTGAAACTGACCATTGGTAATAATGAAATGAGAAAGGGAAGCACCTGTACCTCAGAGGCCCAAATACAAGCCGAAAGTTGAAATCAAAACGGTAAACCAGAAACACAACTACAATGTACACATTGTCTTAGGAATACCGTAGTCCAAATTTAGAAAAATGATTAATTTGTAAGTAATTTTACTCATAACAAGAGGAGTCTTCAACTTTAAAAATATCCTTGAATAATCCATTAAGATTAAATAATTAAGCTTAATTCTTGAATTTTCTCTTATTAACCAAGAAGTTTAGGAACAGAACATTAAAGATTTGACCACAAATTTTTTAAAAGAATACCCATCAACTTGTGAAGTATGTCAATGCAAACTTAGACCCTGGTTTACACGGATCCCATGCATGCACAAAACATACAGGGTATTACATAGTCCATAAACTTAAAACACTTTTACAAAGACCTCTCAAGCGTTCTTAGGAAATGTTATTCAAATGGGGAAGGTGGGGCAATTGATTTAAAATGCAATTGTTTTAGAGTCAGATCTAAGATCAATTTCAAACTATTTTAGAATGACTAAAAATGCCTGTTACATGAATGTTAAAGGATTTCATTCAGCACAGCACAAGCCTTCTGGTGTGGAAAATAGTGAAGTTTCATACTATAAAAGTAATCTTGGGGCTTCCCTGGTGGCGCAGTGGTTGAGAATCCGCCTGCTGACGCAGGGGACGCGGGTTCGTGCCCCGGTCCAGGAAGATCCCACATGCCGCGGAGCGGTTGGGTCCGTGAGCCATGGCCGCTGAGCCTGTGCTCTGCAACGGGAGAGGCCACAGCAGTAAGAGGCCCGCGTACCACAAAAAAAAAAAAAAAGTAATCTTGAGTTGCTTTTGTTTTTAACAAAGCAAACATCCTCCTTCCAAGTTACTACGCCTATTAATACAGCTTATTCAAAATTAATGGCCCTACTTGGATATATATTTTTATTATTTTGAGGACAATTCCTCTCCCAAGCATACTCTCCATATTAAATATTAAAGCCAACAGGTAAATGTTCAGAAAACTTTTCTACCTACAAATACAATTTAAATGTTCATAAGGTTTTTTTTTCAGTAAACTCATTATGATGCATTTTAATGCTACACTCAGTGTATTCTTTTCATCCATTACAGATTAAGATAAAAGTCTATAAAGAAACTCAGTAAAACAACCTATATTTCCATGAGTGCACTCGCAATCTGTGAAGCCAAAATATATCTAGTTTAAAACATTTCAGAATTGGATGTACATAAAAAGTATAATCTCCAAGCATTTGTGCACTCCTGTTCAAGGATCCTAAATCATTTTCAATGGGGGCTATTTACCCATTCCTAACCGAAAGTAGCACATAGTAAGCATTTCTTTGGTATCTTTTCATTTTAAATAACCTGTTTTAAAAGGATGAAACAGCTTTTAGCGGGAAAGAATGTATATTATTCTCTTCTAAAAATCATTTTAGGATACCAACGACGTTAACCATTTCCGTGAAGGTGCTAAATTACTGCCCAGCTTAGGATGCTTTAAAAAACTAACACACTCCATGAACGGTAGACAAAACCTCAAACTCTTGCATCTACTCCTCTGCGTAGATTTTAAAAAATTCTTAGGTGTGTTTTAAAACACACTCAAAGTAATTTGTACTTTAATAACTTCGGTGGAGACAGCAAATTTTAAAAGGCTAATGAAATTTCCGTAGTGCTCAAAATGGCTTAGACATTCAACCTGGATCCACCCGGGCGAATACGAAAAATGCGCCAAGAGCACAAGGAGGACCACGCCACCCTGGCGTCCGTTACAGCGCCTTTTCCAGAAAAACAAAGCCTCTCGACGCGTTTTGCGGATAAGCAGCAGCCAGCCGGGTCTCCGCTTCGCCCTAACCAGTAGCCAGAGCGGGCACCTTCCTTAATATAAGCGCACCTCTCTGCTCGAGGCGGAGTCAGGGATCCCACTGAACCACGAGGGGGCAAACCCCCCAACTCTGCTCAGAGAGCGAAGTCAGAGATCCCGGGGGCCCCCGAAAGCGCAAACCGCGAAACTCTCTGCCAGAAGCGGGGTCGAAGATCCCGGGGAGCCTTCCCCAGCAGTGCGAACCCCGCAACTCTCAGCTCTGAAAGGGAAATCAGACATCCTGGGGATCCTCGGGACCCCCGGGACCGCCGAGACCCACGAGGGGGCGAACCCCACAACTCCTATTGGAGGGAGGGGTCAAGGATCCGGAGCCGCCGGAGCAGAGTAAACCCCGCACCTCCCTGCTCCATCGGAGAGGAGTCCAGGCCCTCCGAGAGCGGCGTCGGCGCGTGGCTGGGAGCCCGGGCCCCGAGCGCGCCGCGGCTGTCGGGAAGCACCGCCGCCTTCTTCCCGAACCCGCGCCCCCCGTGGCGCCCGCCTGGTCCGAGGGGCTTTACCCAAAAAGTTAAGGGCTGAACCCCGTTTCCGGGGCGCCCGCACTCACCTGCGCGGCCATCACGCGCTGTCTCTCTGCGATCAGGTTGCATTTCTTGCACTGGCATTCCCGCCACATGCAGAAGCGTTTGTGGCCCTTGAGCGCCGACGCGTAGCCGTGGTTCCTGCACCGCGCGCACTTGGGCAGCCGCGGGGACTTCTTACTCGCGGCGGCGTCCATGCCCGACGCCCCCGAGCCTGAGCCGCCGCTGCCCCCGGCGCCCGCGCCCCCCGTGGTCCCGAGCAGCGCCCCGGCCGCTTTGCCGAAGCCCCCGGCCTTGCCCTGCGGTGGTGACCCAGGGGCGTGCGGGGCCTCCGACGGTGGCGAAGCCTTGCTGTATGCGTCGTCGTTGGGCATGGTGCCCCAAGGAGATGCGCAGGGACTCTCCGGTGGCTGCAAGGGGAGCACGAGCCGACGGCAAGGCTCCCGAGAAGGAGGCGCAGGAGGCGTACGCGCTGCAGCCGGAGGTGCAGCTGGAATGGCGAGGTCGGGACTCGCAACGCCCAGAGTGGTGGGGGGTTGTGCCCGTTTGTTTTTTTTTTTTTCCTTTTTGCGCGCGCGCGGCGCAGAACTTTTGGATACTTTTCAGAACGTTCCCGGGATTGCCTGCGCGGGAGAAGGCGCGAGGAAGCGCGGCCACGCCCATCGCCCCCCAATTCTAGGCACCGAGCTCCCGCTGCGTGCAAGCTTGCACAGGCTGCAAACACCGAGGGCATTGCTGCAGAGCCACTGCAAACGCACACCCGGAGCAGAGGTGCTCGGGGATTGTGTGATCCCTGTACGCTCAGCGTGCAGGGATTGTGTGATCCCTGTACGCTCAGAGTGCCCAGGCCGGGCTGCCCTAGCACGCTGCACGGAGGAAGCTGGGCGTCCCAGCTCAAGAAGGTTGCTGTGCATCTTAGTCGTGAAGGCTGCTTGGAGGAGGGGCAGACCACCCTGTGGGATCCTCCAGCTCCCTTCCCCCCAGTGACGCCATTTTCCAAGCTCGATAGGGCAGACTTTGAAAGAAGCCAGCCAGAAAGTGGTTTCTTTCTCATTTAAGAGAATTAAGTATGAGGTGGAAGGCCTGAGAAGAGTCTCTGCGCTTATAACAGCAAATAAGCTCCTCAGTGTGCGGGGGTTAAGCGCGCCCCACATTGGGCCTTTCTGTTCTCCAGTTACCTCTTCCTGCACCTGTGCTCGTTTGCTCGCAAAATCGCCACCCGCTGGCTCCAGATGACTTTCAAATCTGGAGTTCCAGTCCTTCTTGCTTCTTACTTCAGGGGCATGCAGCTTCTTGCCTTTGAGGCAACTTCGCTTAGGACCTGCAGGCACTGGAAACTCGGTCTTCTAAAAACCTCTGTTGGGGTGGGGGTGGGGTGGGATGTAGACATTTATCAGAATTCATTCCATACTTAAGATCTGTGCTTTTTTTTTTTTTTTGTGGTACGCGGGCCTCTCACTGTTGTGGCCTCTCCCCTTGCGGAGCACAGGCTCCGGACGCGCAGGCTCAGCGGCCACGGCTCACGGGCCCAGCCGCTCCGCGGCATGTGGGGTCTTCCCGGACCGGACGAACCCGTCCGTGTCCCCTGCATCGGCAGGCGGACTCTCAACCACTGCGCCACCAGGGAAGCCCAAGATCTGTGCATTTTAATTATTCCTCCCCAAACCCGAATCCTCTTACAGCCTTCCCTGCACCTCTACCCCCAACCATGTTTGTCTTCTGTCTTTGCACTTGCACGGCCAATCCAGCCCTAAGGCCTGCTGATCATTTCTTCCTACACACCCAAGTGTGCCTCTAAGGCCAACCCTTCTCACATCTGAATCTCTGCAGTAGCGTCCAGCTGGTCTCACTGATTCTTAGTCTTCCAGTATATTCCATATTCCATGCACACAGCAGCTGGCGCCCTGCAGTGGCTTGGTATTGTTTTCCATGTGAAAAACAAAAGTTAAAGACCTGAGGGTGCATCTTAAAAGGACTTTGAATGATCTCCCTCTGCATTTCTCAGCCTCATATAGTTATTTACTAGCTTGGAGGAGCTCTTTGTTGACCTTTTACATACCTCTTTGCTCGGTGCCGCGTCCCTAACCTTGCAATGGCCACTGTCCAGCCAAGGGGGCTGCCCTCACATCTCTCCCTCACTCTCCTTGCTTTTCCCCAGTGTACCCTGGTTCCAAATTCTTGGCCCCAATTCTTGGTTAGGTCCCCAAAGGATCCTGGCCACCCCACTCGGCTTCTCAGCAAAATGGTTGCCCGTGGACCCTCTCTTTCAGCAGGTTAGCATTTTCAGCACTGAAAATCTTCTAACCTGCCTTTCCCATTCTTATTCTGAGGCCCCTCTCACAGGCTCTTTCCCTCAGCCTGGATTTTCTCCATTAGTGTTCTCAGTCTGAAAATTATTTACTAAAGAAGCTTCTAGCTTTTCACGGTACCTCATATCCTACCCATCAAGCCAGCGAAGCTTTACTTAGGACAGAGGCCAGGATGCAACGATTCATCTCAATCTGGAGCTTGTTAAATGAGAACCACTATTTTGTTCAGGAATATCCATAAGACTTTCATGAAAACACACATACCAATCAAGTGCTGTTATCTACTACTGACCTTTCTTTTTCCATATTTACATTTTAATACATTAACTAAATCTGCATCGTTCCCAAAGCCAAGTCCAGTTTCAGAGAATGAAGTCAATGCCAGAAGCAGCAGCTGTCAAATCCCAAATTACAGGGGAACACGTGTTTCTTATGAGCATCCCCTCACTAGACTCTGTGATGGAGGGACTTAAGCCTACAGAAAATGTGAGGCTAGGAAACTGTGTGACCAAGATATCAAAACATAAAATGTTGTAATGAAGTTAATAGCCTAACCAAGTTTTTATTCACAAACCACAGAGGAAGTACCAGACACGAGACAATCGAAAAGGAAAGTGGGAAGACCTCCAGGGTGAACAGAGTGGTCCCGGATATTTTGAGTAGTTTGGCTCTGTTGTCTCCTTTCTTCCCTCCCTTCTTTCCAAAACAAAGCTATGAAGGATGATGATGCAGATCTGTATTTACTGAGGGAGAAAGATGTTCAGTGCATACTGATAAGGGAGGAGGAAGGGAGTCCAGTTCTAGAACACAGCGAGGTTAGGCAAAGACTTCTTCGATATGACACCAAAAGCACAAGCGATGAAAGAAAAAAATTGACAAACTGACTTCATCAAAATTCAAAACCTTTGTGCTTCTAAAGACACCATTAAGAAAGTGAAAATACAAGACATATATCTGATAAAGGATTTTTATCTGGAATACATAAAGAACTTTTGTGATACAATAATAAAAAGACAAATAACCCAATTGAAAAATGGGCAAATTTCTGAATGGTCGTGCACCAAAGAAAACGTTCGAATGGCCAGAAAGCACATGGAAAGATGCTTGACATCATTAGTCATCAGGAAAATGCAAATCAAAACAATTAGATATCACTTCACACCCACTAGGATGGCTATACTCAAAAACAAAGACAGTAGGAAGTATTGGCTAGGATGTGCAAAGACTAGAATTCTCATGTATTGGTGGTAGGAACGCAAAATGGCACAGCCATTTTGGAAAACTTTACCATCTGACCAAACAATTTCATTCCTAGATACCTACCACAGAGAAATGAAAACGTTATGTCCACACGAAGACTTGTATGCGAATGTCATAGCAGCATTTTCCGTTTGAAACAATGCAAATGTCCACTAATGGTTGAATGAATCAACACAAATGGTATATTCATAAAATGGAATATTATTCAGTCATTAAAGGGATGATGTACTGACACATGCTACAGTAAGGATGAAACTTGAAAACATTATACTAAGTAAAAGAAGCCAGATACTTTCCTATGTTCCCATTTATATGAAATGTTCAGAATAGGCAAATTAATATAGAGAGAATAGCAGTTGCCAGGGTTGGGGTGGGAATAGAGAGTAAGTACAAATGTGTTTAAGGGATCCTTGGAAGGGGTGATGCAATGGTCTAAAATTGGATCATGGTAATCGTTGCAAAACTCTGTAAATTTACTAAAATTATTTGTATGATTAAAACAAGAGAATGTTATAGTTTATATATTATACCTCAATGAAGCTATTAAAAATTTTGAACTAAAAGAAAAAAAAACTCAGTATGTACAACGTGGTTCCATTTCTGAAATAGGAACTAATGTGTATTAATATCTGCTTGAGTAGGTTATTTAATTCTCTATGAGTTATAGGATTATGGGTGATCTTCTCCTTATACTTTTTTTTTTTTTTTTTTTTTTGCGGTACACGGGCCTCTCACTGTTGTGGCCTCTCCCGCTGCGGAGCACAGGCTCCGGACGCGCAGGCTCAGCGGCCATGGCTCACAGGCCCAGCCGCTCCGCGGCATGTGGGATCTTCCCGGACCGGGGCACGAACCCGTGTCCCCTGCATCGGCATGCGGACTCTCAAACACTGCGCCACCAGCGAAGCCCTTCTCTTTATACTTTGTATGTGTGTTTGGGAGCAGGCCCATGTTCTGGTGTCCTCCCTCCTGTTTTGTCCCCTGTAGCCGGGTGGTAAGAAATGACATCTGAGTTTGGGCCTAGCAGACTCAGTGTCAGCCCTGTGATCAACCCCAGATCACCAGCATTCTTGGCATTAGAATTGGAACCCAAGCTGGTTTCACAACAAATTATTATGTGTTTTGCTTTCCAGTTACCATAGCTCTGTGGTGCATATATACTTTGTTTATTATCTGAGTTTTTAAAAGCACTTAGGCATTACTGTCACCAGAAATAAAGAATACATTATTTTCTTGGCGAGGCAGTATAGCACCATAATTAAATGCCTGGCTTTGAATGCCAGCCACGTGATCTTAGGCAAGTTTCTTAACCTCTCTGTGACTCAGTTCATCTGTAAAAGGAGGGTAATAATAATAACCACCTCAAAGGATTGTTGGGAAAACTAACTTAGTTAATACTCATGATGTGCTCAGAAAAGTATCTAGCACACAGTAGCACGTAAGCCATTTTCATTATTTACATATTTGAAATGTTAAGAGTAGTGAGAAAGCAGGGTACATCTACATATAACCTTCCACCTACTAGAATACTAGAATAACTTACAGGGAGGGGGACCTATACGAGAAAACACCAAGGATAAATTTCATCTAGTTTGCATTTTGTCCATGCAAAGCAGTTTTTGCCCCAGTTCTTGGTACAACAGGTCACGGGGAAAATTCCCTGTGGGGCTTCTAACTGTATATACGAAGCGAGACACTATAGAGTCAAAATATTTAGCTCAGGTGCCTGCCAAGTGTGCAGCCCGAGAGTCAGCTGGCCTGGATGAATGATCTGCCCACCCTCCCGGGGGGCTGGTCTGAACAGCAGGAATCGGGGAGAAGTGAGACTCGTAGGGCCTGAAGCATTTCATGATAGGAGGACCCTCGGTGAGAGGCAAGACTGAACAGGACTTGATTAGGCACAAAGGAGAAAGTAAGACATTCTAAGTTGTGGGAACAAAGGACGGATGACGGGGGTATGGGGAGTGAGGTTGTGAGTTGGGGGAGAGGGCACAGACATGCCAGTCTGGAACAGAGGAGTCAAGCTGGAGCCCAGTGGGAGATAAGGTTGGAAAGATAGCATGGCACCTCGCCTGCCAGTGAGGAATTTGGCTTCTATCCTATAGGCAAATGGAGAATGATGGAGGCTTTTGTCCTTGAGGTGCTGGAAGAATGAAAGTGGCAGGCGCGCCAATCACTGTGGGACTTGAACAAGCCGCTTAAGGTCTCTGAGCCTTCCGTCTTTGTGAGGAGCTGACA